CTCTTCTCACATCATCAATTGGGAGGAAATTAATCTTGATGAAGACGTGACATTTGAAGAAAAGCCTATCAAAATTTTAGATCGTCGTGAGAAGAAATTATGAGGTAAAAATAACCGTTGGTTCGAGTTCTCTGGAGACATCGTGGGACGGAAGAGTCAACGTGGGAGCGAGAAGATATAATACGTGCCAATTACCCTCAACTTTTCGAGTCTAAATGTACGAATTAATTTCGAGGACGAAATTTCTTTTTTAGGAGGGTAGATTGTGAAAACCCATATTTAAATTATTCTTAAAAGAAAATAAATAAATAAATTAATTAATTAATTTTATTCAGAATCTACCTAAAATATATAATAGTGTAAAAATTATTTTTAAATTAACCAAATTCAATCACTAACAAAGACCTTATTAAGAATAAAAATGTTGTGGATGTTCAATAATTATTGTTATAAATTATTATAAAAATATATATATATAGGAGAATCAGATTCGGTGGCAAGGGTATACCACATGCTAACTTGCATGTTGGCTTGGTAAATTCCACCAAATGATGGCTTTTGGGTAGAGTGAAGTTTATGGCAGGGAAAAACATCATGACAAGAGAGAGAGAGAGAGAGATCTGAGAGAAAGAGAGATCTGCCTATATATATCATAGGTAGACTTAGTTCATGGTCACATACAAACAAAAGAAGGAGTATATACGGGTGAGGAGAGATTCAATAGAAAGAAAAGAAGAGGGGAAGGTTAAGGAAGCAAAATTTTTCGGCCACTTCATTACCCATTTGAATCCTATTATTAGGTAAGAAAACCCTCTCAATCCTCTCATTTTTTTATATATTTGAAATTTTCAGATTATATATGATAAATTGTCTAGACTACTCATAAATAGAAATTATATATATATGTGTAGGAATTTTGTGATGTGTATATCAAGTGTTTGAAGATGTTGATAGTTTTAAAATCATCTTATTATTGTAAAGAAATAAGCTTGCATGTGCAGTTTATACATTTAAAGAGAAGATTGAAAATAATTAATCTGTTTTGAATCTGCCAGAATGTTGCTCGAATTTTTAGACAATTTTATACTCAAAATTTTGAGATGATTTCTTCTACAAAGTTGTTGATAATGATGTCTAGTTCATCTAGAAATTTTGGCAACAATTTTTGAGCTTTCTACGAATTTATAAATTTTTTTAACTAAATCTGAAACTGTGAGACAGATTTTACTATGTATTTGAAAATTTATTTAAAATTCTATACTAAGCCAAATCTGGTAATTTCTAACTAAAAGATGAAATTTGAGAAGTCTAGTTTCATGATAAATTTTTAGATTATAGATTTGATCTATAAAATTAAGCATGGAATTAATGTAAGGAAATGCGACAAATCTGTGTCATAAAGATTGCTGGAAATTTTACAGGATTATTTACACCTTCTTTTTCTGAAATTCTTTCTGAAAAGTGACCTAAACATCCCTATTGAGTATTCTGTTCAATTGCACGAATTTTAAAATTGTGTAAATAATTTATTTATAATTTTTAATACCTAAGTTACAATCTGAAATTTTCTGGACATGATAAAATCATCACTTCAATATTGTGTAGGTCTAATCCATCAACTATTATAAATTAGTAATTCATGTATGGGTGTGTTGTGATTTATTTAATATTGTGCTAGTCTAATTTTGTAAATCAAAAATTTGTGCATGTGTATAATTATGGTTTATTTCTTGTATCTAAGTTATTATGTTCATACCATGGCTTAAATTAATTGTCTATTAAATTTTGTACATTTAATTATTATTGTGTGACATGTATAATGTTTTATGTTGGGAGTCTTTTTTTTTGTTGGTATAACGTTATTGGTGATTGAGAATTGAATAATTTGTGTTTAATATATAAATTTAACCGAAATGACTGATGGTATATATAAAGTTACTGATAAAGGGTTAATACCAGATATTCAGGGTGAGCCCTGGTTTTTAATAAGTTTTAAGTAAATTGTGTCGCGAAACCCTAAGATGGCACTGGGCTTATTTGAACCCTTATCGGTATTTGGTTTTGGGATAAGGGTGGATGTGCGGGTGGCATGCAGGGAAGTTATGTACCCCTAACAGACCGTTCCCTTGGGCAGACCACGGATGTCACGGTTTAGGTATATAACTCCGGGCGTGGGCATCTTTGGTAGTTTTTGAATATTTGACCAAGGGGAGGTTTCCAAATTAACCGTGGCCATGACTTAGTGGTTGGTAAGCTAAACCTCTTTAGTGAGATTTCAAGGGTCACCTAAGTTATTAAAACTATTTGAATTATTTTAATGGTTATAATTTATGTCTACGATTATATTATTATCTCGTGTTTATAATCTCATTATTTTTCTCAAAAAGAATGGTAGGTTGGTTATGTTTTCTTACTGTGTTGCAAAACTCATGGCATATATTTTGTTGCCCTAGCATTTCATGCCAGATTATGTCGAGGAAGGGACTGAGGCTGAAATTGGAGCTGCTGCTAATATCGAACCTTGGCTAACTTAGAGTCAAGATTTTATCAAATAAAATCCTATTATTTCTTGTATTAGTGTTTAACTATGTTGTGACGTTGTGTGTGAACTTGTAGTTTTATTTTGTTGTTGGACTTTGACTATGTAAGAATTTAAAAGTTTCTAATTAGTAGTTAAAATTTTATCTAGTAAGTTATTGTTATTTAAATCTTATGACGTTTCAAAAAATTTGTTTGGGGCATCACAACAACTCAAGCTTGAAATGGGAAAACATAACATGCATGAAATGATTTGTGTTCCAAGTCTCCAAATCATGAGCAAATGAGATGGTTAGACCAAAAACATGTTGAATTCCTTGAATAAAACCAAGATATGGACATGCATGTGAAAATTCTTCAAACTCCAACTCTAAATACAAGAGAATTTGCATGCATGTATGGTAATCTTCATAATTCTCCTTTTCTAGCTCAATTCTTGTTCTAAGTTCTCTTGAATTCATATAATACATCTCAATTACACAAGTAAAGGCTTAAATCCTTACCTCACTCTTGATTTAGGCTATAGCTTGCTATATCTTTAAGATTCTAAGTCATTCCCTTAATTCCCTAGCAAATCTCCTAGTTGAATTCAATTCCTCATTTTCTCTCTCTTTCTCACTTGTGTAGGCTCAAAATGATGAAGAGAGGATGACTCAAAGTAATGTAATAGCCTTATATAGGCTTGATTAGGGAGTTTAATTAATTAGGCTTACCATTAATCAAATGAGCATTGTTTAATTCTAATTAATTCGTTCCAGATCGAATTTCAATTAAACTTACCATAAAATTCTAAAAATTCCACATAACACAAATACTAAATCAATTTTATGTTCGGATGCCGATAAGGCCTTCAATTCGCAGACCGAAACAGAAATACAAATAGATATTTCTACGAGAGATAGATAGAAACACCAATAATGCAATGTACATGTAATTAACTCAGAATTTCATCTTAATTACTTATTAGGCATACTTAATCATGGCTTAACAGTTAATCATAGGTTGGGGTTGTTACAGCCTTCGTCTTCCTTATTATACGATCCCGTCATAAAGTAAATTGTGTTACACAGAGAAATTCTCTGGATCATTGATACACTGTTCATTAGTACACTGTGAATTACCGTGAAGCCTATAGGATCTTTGCTTGTAATGAGATTTTGTTCAACCATGAATCGCCCAAGAAGGGGGGAGAATTTTGTGACGAGAAAGATCACAAGGGCTATTGAGAGAATCAAGATTGGGCTTTAGAGCAAGCTATTTTTGGAAAATTTGATGGCTTCGAGGGATTAGGGTTTTGTTGGGGACTATGTGGAGGCAATGTGGATGATGATTTAGAAGGAGAAGAAGTATTTTAGGCCCACTGAGGTTGATAATTTGAAGGGCGATGTAAGCAAGACCAAGAAGGTTCTTGGTTAGAAGCCTAAGGTTAGGTTTGAGATGCTGGTGAAGATGATGGTTGATGAGGATATTGAATTGGCTAAGAGAGAGAAAGTGCTTGTTGATGCTGGGTTTATGGATGCTCAGCAACAGCCTTGATTCAACCATTTTGTCTTTTTTTTTTTTTTTATTCTCTAAATTATGGTTCAATTATGTTTTTAGTGTTTTGAACTTTTGTTTTTAGAACTATGTTCTAGGGATAATATAATTTGATAATTTGATTACAATGTAGGTATTGTTGTTAAATTTAAACTTTGATGTTAATGGGTTGTTTGATTGTCTTCAACCCTCATTTATTTGATACAACTGCATATGGAGTCTCACCCAACTCTGAATTTGGCAGGTAAAAAAAAATTCAAAATTGATTTAGAATTCAATAATTATCGTATGTATATGAACAAAGTTAGATAATTTAAATTTTCTCTGGATTTTCCTAGTTTGAACTTAGAGAAATTTCAATTTTCTCTGGTGGTATGAATTTTCTCTGGCTGTGATCACCAATCGTGTATTGCACATTGTGATTGGGAAGACAGAGAGATTTTTCTAGTTTGAACCCAGATAAATTCTTGCGAAAACTAGAGAAATTATTTAGTATCATGAGAAAATCTCTAGATTGAAATCCAGAGAAATTCTCTAAATCGAATTTTCTCTGAATGAATTTCTTTGAATGGTCTTCCCATAATTTCTCTAGAGGGAAATTCTCTGGGAAGTCTAGAAAAATTTTTTAGATTAAATTTTTTCTGAATCGATGTTGAAGGACCTTAAATATTATGAAAAATATTGACTATCCTTTATATTATAAAATCTTAATACCGAGAACCTTAAAAAAATATCAAAAATACATTGGGTCTCTCATGCTACCCAAAATTGGAGAGAGATGTTTCACTAATTTTTCATTTATTATATCATTAAAGTGAATTTATTTCAAATTTAAATTTTTATTTAAATTAACAAAATTTTATTATTACTTTTTTTTAAAAAAAATATTAATTATGTGTACTAGTATATATTTTCTTGGTGGTGGAAGCAAAAAAATAGTATCTTGGTGAAAATGGCGGCGATAACTCGCCTCCAACTCCTCCAACCACCAGCGGGCGCCGTGACACCCTCCGTGCTTTTATCCAAACTCCATCGGTCCTCCTCCGTTTTCTCTAACCCCATTCTCTGTACCCCTCGTCTTCGTAAACTCTCCTTCACTCCTCCACTTTGCTCCAATTCGGACGAGGTCACACTAATTAATCCCTCTCTCTCTTGCTCTTTAGAAATTTGATGTTTATTACTTACTAGGATATCTGTTGAGTTGAATCTAGGGTTGTTGATGCAGGGTTCTTCCACTTCCGGATCGAGTCCATCCATTGTTGGTGATCTTCTGGATTATCTCAACGAATCTTGGACTCAATTCCATGCCACAGGTATCATATGCAAAACATTACTGTTTGTTAATACTGTAATTTTAGCAATTTGTGGAACAGTTGATGAGATGAGATTGTCTATTATTCTCATTCAAAAAGAAGTTAAGCTATGCTCAACCTAACCTGGATTAAATTGAGACCTATATAATTGGAACCATGAGTTATATTGTTGTTACTTTGGTACGACGACTTGAAATTGTTGACTTACCCATGTTTGGTTGTTTGGGCAGAAAACATTTTTCAGAAAAAAATATTTTCTATGTTTGGTGGAGGTGGTGGGGTGGCAGCGATGGCAACAGTGATGGTGTGGTGGTGAAGGTGAGAGTGGCAGTGGTACTGTGGTGACATTGGTAAAAGTTTAGTCTGAAAAACGTTTTGTACCTTTTAAAAATGGAAAATATTTTCTGGCCAAATAGTCTTGTTTTTCATTGACCATGGAAAATGTTTTTCGTTGACTTTCGTTTTCCATTATACTAAATGCTAGAAAATCCAAACAAACAGAGCGGTAGTGAATTTGTGGGTTGTTGTGGAAAGGAGGAATTATTTATGCTACTCATACATTAGAAAGTTATGCGAAAGTGCAAGAAAATGAAGGGATAACACTGGTTGCATGGAATTAAAGATGAGGGTGGTGCAATTGTCAAGAGAATAAGCTAAAGACTCCACCAAGGCACTGTTTGGTCTTTGAATAGAAATCCTGTTACTGTTCCTTTATAGCTCATTGCATTGTTTGCTAAATTGCATTCCCATCCTAATTTCCATTCCATTGTTCTGAACTGAATGGGACCAAATGGGAATGTTAAGAATTGGTTGTAAGTGGAAGGCTACACTGAAAAAAGAAAGTTAATGGCTGGGAATTGGAATGGTCTTTGACCCATCATGTTGGTAATTTTTTTTGCATGCTACTACTTTATTTATATAAACAAGGTTACATGACTATAGGTCTTCAACCCATGACGCATACTCCAAGTATTGCCTTCACTTTTCATTGCTACTTAACAATGGTTTTTCACTATGGTCACTCAAAATCATTACAATCACAACTTCAAGGGTCCACCCTTAACCTCTTTCACATACAATTTTTACATATGGGTTTGGGCTACAACCTTCAATTCACATATATCCTCAAGAAAACCAAATTGTAGGTGCCTCTCCACCAATTGTGTGCTACGTCAATAGTTGTGCAAACATTGTAACAATGTTTGCAGTTCTACACATACCTTGAGGAAGGAAATCTAAAATGTCCTTTCGTGTGCCTTTTTTTTTCCAGTTTTAGATATATAGTTTTATGCTTGTCTCATTTGCTATGTATCCTTTTATAGCTGAAGCAAAACGGAAATTAATTGCTGCTGGATTTCACTTGCTAAATGAAAATGATGAATGGGACCTGAAGCCTGGTGGACGTTACTTCTTTACACGAAATATGTCTTGTTTGGTTGCCTTTGCTGTTGGAGAAAAGTAAGTGGAACCACACTCTCTTCTGTAACATTGACTCTCAATAGTTTAAAACATAGTCCGAGGACAAACTGATGTTTGAGAGTAGATAGATAGACTGAGGGTGAGGGTGAGGGTGAGGGTGAGGACAAACAGAGGTTTGAACTTTCAAGTAGACTTTTAGTGAATATTGCAGAACTAGATATTTGGTTGGTCTGCATCTTTAGGTGGCCCTCGTTTTTTCCTAACCTTGTCCATGATTTTCATATTGTTCTCTCTCTCTCTCTCTCTAAATTTTTCAATTTTGTTTCTTTCTTATTCTCAAGAAGGAGCTGCATTTTTGCCATTTTCTACTATTTTTATGATTGATCACTTTGAATTTTAAAGTTCTTATAGACTAGTTGATTTGTTTTATTTTCTTTGTTTTCTTAGTGATATTGTTTAATAAGGTCCTCTGTCAGTTTTGCAGGTATCGTGTTGGAAATGGTTTTCATGTAATTGCTGCCCACACGGATAGCCCATGTCTAAAATTAAAACCGAAGTCTGCATCGTCCAAATCCAGCTATCTTATGGTCAACGTGCAAACATATGGAGGCGGTTTATGGCATACATGGTTTGATAGGGACTTAAGTTTAGCGGGAAGGGTGATATTGAGAGATAAAGATGGTTCTTTTTTGCACAAGCTCGTCAAAGTTGAAAGGCCTTTATTACGAGTACCGACATTGGCCATTCATCTTGACAGGTTGTTAATCTTCTGAATCTTTCTGTTTTTAGCCTTTTCCATTCTATACATTATCTGTTCTGCAATTCTTTACATGAATTTTGATAGTTGTTTGCTGCTTGGACACTAAGGTGAAATTAGTAGGTTTGACATTTTGAAATTATTGGTTTGGTTTGTAAGCATTATACATTGTGAGTTGACTTGAGTTTATTTTCGTAAGTCACATTTTGGTTGCCCCTTGTCTCAGCATTGATTTTCTCCCCCACCCATTCTCTTTGACATCCAAATGAATTTTAGAAATGTGAAGTGTTAATTTTTTTTAAACATGAAAATTGCCCTTAGAAGGATTTTCTATGGGAATATCAAAGTGCTAATATCTTGAGAAATTGGTGCACTTTGATAAGTATGAATCCAATCCGTTGTGTTTCAAATTTTCTTTGGGAAGTGCTTTAATTTTGCAAACGCATAATTTAAATCCAAAATGATGCATTGATGATCCTCTTTGGGAAGGTATTTAGTTTTTATCTTATGGGTTGTCTAGTTTCACATTCTCCACATATTGTCTGATGTTTTTCTTTTTGTTTTTTTTATTTTGGTTGTTTAGAACAGTGAACAAGGATGGGTTTAAGCCAAATCTAGAGACTCACCTTATTCCTTTATTGGCAACAAAGGTTGAGAATACGTCTTTGGAATCCAAAGAGAAAAGTAATAATACAAAAGCTGCTCATCATCCCCTTCTTATGCAGGTATCTCTTTTAGTAAATCTACATGTAATGGAAGAGGGCAAAAAATAGAGGTAATTTTGTAAGGGGAGACTAATGCCATAATGGTACATTTGGTGAAAACGTGGCAATGAGACAAACCCGCATAGGTACCCTTTTGTAATGCAATTGTGGCAGGTAGAAGGGGAGATAATAAGTAGCAATAATAATCTTACTGTAAGAAATAATGTATCTTGGAAGAATATAGATGCCTCCATGATTGGATGATTGCAGTCTTCTTGCTTGCTTGTTTCTGATTCGTCAAGTTCTAATAGTTGGAGCACTTGAATGGCTAGTTTTGTACTACGCACATTTGCAGTATCTGTTCAATGCTTTTGCTAGATCTGCCTTCTGTTTGTTTGTTTTATTTTTTCAACCTTAGGTTCACTCCAATGTTGAAATTGCATTGCCACTTTTAATTAACAATATGGTCAATGCATCCTTTTATGTTTACAATTGAGGGTGCCGGAATATCTTGTAATTTCCTTATAACTGTGATACTCAGGTTTTGTCAGATGAGTTGAGCTGTGGTATTGAGGACATAGCAAATATAGAATTGAATGTTTGTGATACTCAACCTAGCTGCCTTGGAGGTGCAAATAATGAATTTATATTTTCCGGAAGATTGGATAATCTCGCTTCTAGTTATTGTGCATTGAGAGCTCTCATTGATTCATGTGAAACTCCTACTGATTTATCAAGTGAGCATGCAATTCGGATGATCGCGCTTTTTGATAACGAGGAGGTAGTTTCTTGCACAACTTGTAAGCCTTATGTAGGATATTGACTGCTTTGTTGTCCTTTTACGACTGGGTGCAATGGTTAGTGTTTTGTTTGGTCATATGAAATCTTCAATTCGATTGCAATTTAAGATTATTTTCAGCTGTTGAGATTTTAATTCCTTTGATTGAAAATTGTAGTATAATAGTTTTTACCATGCTATTATTGTTCAAGTGGTCTTCCTTTACTTTTAAGGTCAAATGTAACTACAACCGGGTATAACGTAGGACATTCAGAGGTGAAGTCCATGTCCTGATAGTTAAAACATACTTGGATGGTAATTGGTTCTTGATTAAATTTTTTAAAGTTCAAAGGAGATGACTGATGACCTAACTATGTTTTTGGGTTTAGGTTATCGCTCCAAAGTGGGTTGTCTTAAGGGGGATTACAAATCAATGGGGATTAGCAAAAATAATTGAAACAACATGGAGGTACAATTGGGGTCTGTGCTGTGGTGCAAGTCAGGCTACAGTTTTCCCTTGCACCCTACCGCAGGTCTACTTGCACCTCCACATTTTTGCAATTATTTTCACTTGTTCCCATAAGTTTCTGAAGATGATAGCTTGTATATTTAACTTGTAGAATACAAAGATTACAACCAATATTTATAACAATCTTAAACCTAATCTATAATAAGAAATAACCCTATACAATCAGTTGAATATTTACAATCAACCAATCAACCTACCTAATTGATACATAATACTATAATTATATAATATTCTCATACCCCCGTTTAAGCTCAAGGTGTTTTAGTAGAAAACACTGAGAGTTTGCCAAGAAGAAACTGAAATTGAGCAGTTGTGTGAGTTTTCGTAAAGAAATCAGCAAGTTGCAAAGCTGAAGAAACAAAAGGAAATGAGATGGAGCTAGACTGCAGATGCTGACGGACAAAATAACAACCAATCTCAATATGCTTTGTCTGCTCATGAAAGACAGTGTTATGGGCAATCTGAATAGTACTACGGTTGTCACAGTAAAGGGAGGTCGGAGAAGACTGAGGGACATCCAAATCAGTCAAGAGACAACGAAGCCAAACAATCTCAACAGTGGCATGAGCCATAGTAAGGTACTCAGCCTTAGCAGTGGAACGCGCAACAATAGTCTGTTTCTTGTTCTTCCAAGAAATCACGAAATCGCCAAGAAACATGCAGAAGCCAAAAGTGGACTTGCGATTAGTGACATCACTAGCCCAATTAGAATCAACATAAGTTACCAAGTCTAAAGAGGAAGTAGAAGACAACAGTAAACCCTGAAATACCCTAGAGATAACGAAGAATTCGAACCAAAGTAGCCCGATGTGTAGAATGAGGAGCAGAAACGAACTGATTAACCATATGAACCACATAGGCAAGATCAGAATGAGTAACCGTCAGATAGACTAAGTAACCCACAAGCTATTGATATAAAGTAGGATCATCTAGAAGAACACCATCAGTAGGGGTGAGTTTCACATTAAGCTCAATGGAGGTATCAGAAAGCTTAGTGTCAGTAAGACTGACACGATGAATAACCTCATTGGCATATTTGGCCTCAGAGAGAAAGTAGCCCTTGGAGAAGAAGCTACCTCAATACCAAAAAAATATCGCAAGGAGCCCAGATCCTTCATTTCAAAAGTGCAAAAAAGATGCTGCTTGACCTCAGAGAAAGAAAAAGAGTCAGAGTCAGTGATGATCATATCATCCACATACAGTAATAAGGCAACAAATCCAGCAGAGATGTGGAGAAGAAATAAAACAAAGTCTTGAGCACAAGGATGAAACCCAAGTGCACTAACAGCAGTCTGAAAGCGATCATACCAAGTATAAGGAGATTGCTTCAGACCATACAAAGCACACCGAAGGCGACAAACCTGTCCAGAGGAATGGTGAAGCTCAGGGGGAGGACGCATATAAACCTTCTCGGTGAAATGGCCATTAAGAAAAGCATTATTTATATCCATCTGATAAAGAGGCCAAGAACGAACAACAACGACAAAGATCAAAGTACGGACAATAGTCATCTTGGCAACAGGAGCAAAGGTCTCCTTATAATCAATACCATACTCCTGTGAGAAACTTTTGGCAATCAGACGAGCTTTGTAGCACTTAAGAGAACCTTCATAATGAGTCTTGACTTTGTAGACTCATTTGCAACCAACCAGATTCTTACCAATAAGCAAAGGAACTAACTCCCAAGTATTAGTTTTTCTGTAAATCAGACAACTCATCCTCCATAACTTAATCCAATGGGGATCCTGACAGGCCTCTTTGTAAGGCTGAGGTTCTTAAAAAGAATGAATAGTAGACAAAAAAGTACGAAATGAAGCAGAAAAACATGTATTAGACCAACCCAACCTGTTTGGAAGATGATGCGCTTGAGTAGGATAGCGGTGTGCAGTAGGATCAGAGTCGTCAGGAGTAGGAGGATCAGTAGTAGGAGTAGAGATAACTGGTGGAGGGAGAGCCTGGCGACACGAATAAACTAACAACGGAGGAGGAGAAGGAGCAGGCTGGGGAGACGGAGGAGAAAAGGGAATAAGGTCATGGGAAACAGTAGAGATGTACTCATCAAAAGGGATCTCGGAAGGAAATGGATCAAGGTCAAACCAATCCTCTTTGGAAACTGGAGCAATGGTAGGAGGAAACTGAAAGTAAGGCAGACGTTCGAGAAAAGAAACATGACGGGAGCCATAAAGACGATGGGAAATAGGGTTGTAACACCAATAGCCTTTCTGAGTAAGACTATAACCCAAAAAGACACATAAGACAGATTGGGCATTAAGTTTAGTTTGATCTTTACGGGGAAGAAGGACAAAACAAGCAGACCCAAACACACGAAGGAAAAAGTAATTGGGAAGTTGAGAGAACAGAGCCTCGTAAGAAGACTGACCAGAAAGAAGGGGAGTAGGCATGCGGTTAAGAAGAAAAGCAGCAGTAAGAACTGCCTCGCCCCAAAACGAAGCTGGAACTGAGGCAGAGAGAAAAAGAGACCTAGCTGTCTCAAGAAGATGATGGTGTTTACGCTCGGCTCGACCATTTTGGACAAGTGTATCAGTATAAGAAGTTTGGTGAATGGTATCCAAATTGGCTAAATACTCACAGCACTCAGTTTTAAAATATTCCCCATCCAGGTCAGATCGTAACAATTTAATGGTAGCCCCAAACTGTGTAGTGATCATAAGTTAAAAGGTACGATATATTTAGTAGAAGTCAGATTTATGAGTCATAAGATAAACCCAAGTATAACGGGTGCAATCATCAACAAAAGACACATAGTATGCGGAACCCCCTTTAGTGAGAACAGGAGAGGGTCTCCAGACATCAGAGACGCAACATAGATCGAGAGAGGGAGAAGAAGAGACGCAATAGAGACGAAGAGGAGATCGAGGGTGAGAGAAGCGAGAGAGAGAGAGAGATGAAGACCTAGGGCTTCGAAGAGAGGGACGAAGACTAGGGCTTCGACGGGGAAGTCAAACGGCGAGATCGAAGTCGTTGAACGGAGGATCGAAGCCAGCGACCAGGTACTCTCCTTGCCCTCTCAATAGTGCTCCCTTCCCGCATCAGATTCGCGTTTCCCTCTTCTCAGATTCGCGATTCTGATGCGATCCTTTCTCAGAAGTGCAAAATCGCGCTTTTTCCTCGGAGTCGTTGCCATCTGAGACGATTCCTGCTACTAAGAGTAAGACTATAACCCAAAAAGACACATAGGACAGATTGGGCATTAAGTTTAGTTTGATCTTTACGGGAAAGAAGGACAAAACAAGCAGACCCAAACACACGAAGGAAAAAGTAATTGGGAAGTTGAAAGAACAGAGCCTCGTAAGAAGACCGACCAGAAAGAAGGGGAGTAGGCATGCGGTTAAGAAGAAAAGCAGCAGTAAGAATTGCCTCGCCCCAAAACGAAGCTGGAATTGAGCCAGAGAGAAGAAGAGACCTAGCTGTCTCAAGAAGATGATGGTGTTTACGCTCGGCTCGACCATTTTGGACAGGTGTATCAGTATAAGAAGTTTGGTGAATGGTACCCAAATTGGCTAAATATTTACAACACTCAGTTTTAAAATATTCCCCACCCAGGTCAGATCGTAATAATTTAATGGTAGCCCCAAACTGTGTAGTGATCATAAGTTGAAAGGTACGATATATTTAGTAGAAGTCAGATTTATGAGTCATAAGATAAACCCAAGTATAACGGGTGCAATCATCAACAAAAGACACATAGTATGCGAAACCCCCTTTAGTGAGAACAAGAGTGGGTCTCCAAACATCAATATGCACAAGAGAAAATGGAGAAACAGAAACTGAAGTAGTTTTATTAAAAGGTAAAGTTGACATTTTGACAAGTTTACACCCCCGACATTCATCAATTTGACTAGGAGAAACTTTACCCAATAATCCTGACTGAGCTAAAGACCGTAAGCGGTCAATAGACAAATGACCTAAGCGAGAATACCATAAGTCAAACTGACTCGACTGAGAATCTAACTGAAATGAGGAAAAAACAATTGGAGAGATGGATAGAGGGAGATGCAAGCTGTAACGCCCTCAAAATAATAACAATAAACCCATCAATATAGACATACATTTATATACAAAAGATCCACATTCTTCAACTGATCAGAGTACTTCATTACAAAAGTATTACATGTTAACGACAAAAGCAAATGCCCTACGGGCTTATAGCTTTCCAAGTTAACACTTGGTTACAAAAGAGAGTACTAACTCAATTACATGTTAAGCCCTTGGCTTGAATTTACATGTAATACATCAAAAGAAATAAGACAACAAAAGTGTGTCCGCCTCTAGCCTCCCAAGCTATGTCCTTGGAGGTGGCATGCTACTTGTACCTGAAAATGATATTCCCATATAGGGTGAGCCATAGCCCAGGTTTTGAAGTAAGGAAAGGTGAGGAGTCATGTGATGAGAGGCACTCGAGTCAAAAAGCCAGACAGAAGAGGAGATACCTGTAGAGCACCCAAACAAACCTGAATAAAGAGAGGTGAGAGCAGAGGCAGATGAGGATGGTTGAGAGGTGGACAGGAGATGTTGAAGCTGAGCCATCTGGGCACGCAAGGAAGCCAAGTCAGGATCAGAAGCTAGAGTAGAAGCAGTATAAGCAACAGGAGGTCGAAACTATGTCTGAGGTGGTTGAGAAGACTGAGCAGACTGACGTCCCTTCTTGGGACAGTTGTACTTCTAATGGCCCTTCTGATGACAAAAAGCACACTCATCAGAGGCTAGTGGCCCTTTCTTAGGCTTCGCATGGCCCTGAAGCTGATGAGGTGGTGGGGTTGACAACAGAGGGGGCTGAGTAGGAGCCAAGAAGACAAATGGAGACAGAGTCTGACTGGCCATCTTAAGACAGGTTTCCTCGGAGAGGAGCTCATGAACAATAGCATCCACAGAGGGGAGAGGAGACCGATGAAGGATGCCACCACGGATAGCCTCATATCCAGGGGAGAGAGCCGTCATAAACTGCATCAGACGACCATCTTCCCGAAACCGTAGATAATCATCTAGCACCTTGATGCTAGGAGGCTCCATCAAAGCAAGCTGATCCTAGAGACCAGTCATCTCAACATAAAAGTCCTGAATAGACTTATCCCGCTGGCGAGCACCCTGAAGAGCTTCCAACTCATATCGTTTGGCAAAGTTGGACTGCTAATAGACACTGAGTAAATATTCCCACACCTCCTTTGCAGTGGAATATTTAGAGAACATCATGCCAATGCGATCTTCCATAGAATTGTGAAACCAAGGCAGAATCTAAGCATTATCAGAATCTCAAGCATCACATGCAGCCTCATATCCCTCTTTCTCGGGATCAGATGGACGAGGGACTGAACTAGAAACATAATCTCACTTTTTACGGCTGACGATAAAATTTTTCATAACACTGGCCCAATATGTGTAATTGCAACCAGTTAGTCGGCAACTAATGGCATGACTTTTGTCTTCAGACATGATGAGAACTCAAAAGGGTTAGATTGCAAATACCAGAAAACCTCGGGGTCAGAGTGAAATAACCGACAAACCAAGAATACTTAGCAATAACACCACCAAAGCTGAGAACCAGATTGTAAGCCAGAAGACGACGGTCACCAGATCCGAAGCTGAACCAGATTGCAAACCAGAAGATGAGGGCCAAAGGTGGTTCGCGACTCGTCTGAGACAGAGTACAGCAACAATTGCAAACCAGAAACAAGAATCGCGAGTCCGATGATGGTCAGAGACTCAGAAGTAGATCGCGACAAGTCTGAGATAGAAAACCAGTGGTCGCGATGAAGAAGACAGAGTGAGGGAGTGACAGTGGTGACATGAAATCTCAGATCGCACAACGATTGTGACTTCTGTTGATGACGATCGCAAGTACGACTTCAGTTGATGACGATCACAATTTCTGAGGCTAATGGCTAGGGTTTCGGACGTGGCTTTGATACCATGTATGTTTCTGAAGATGATAACTTGTATATTTAATTTGTAGAATGCAAAGATTACAACCAATATTTATAGCAATCCTAAACCTAATCTATAATAGGAAATAACCCTATACAATCAATCGAATATTCACAATCAATCAATCAACCAACCTAATTGATACATAATACCATAATTATATAATATTCTCACAGTTCCCACTTATTTGCAATTCCCCCTTGTCTTAATCAGATTTTCTTTAGGCATTCCTTATATTACTTCTGTAAATCTTGGCACATGCCCTTGATTTTCTATGCATATTCTGTGTAAATGTTGATGTTTTAGATGCATCTCATTGGCCCTGCTCTGTTAGTCCGGTTTAGTATGACTGTTGTCTCTTGTTGTGCAGGTGGGTTCAAATTCAATTCAGGGAGCTGGTGCTCCAACCATGTTTCAGGCTATGAGACGTATAGTTGGTTGCTTAGCTCATGAATATGTAGGAGAGGGTGCTTATGAGCGTGCAATCCGCCAATCCTTTCTTGGTATGCTTGACTTAGGATTTTTTATGGTTTGAAGTAGATTGATTCCATTTTAAGTTTTTTCATTCCTGATTGTGTTGTTGACTTATTTTTTTTTATTTTTTTATTTTTTCTTTCTTTCCTGTTTACAATATGTAGATCCAATACTGTTGATAGAAAGAAAGAATTCTTCCCCCACCAAATAATAAATACATCATCAGGTTCTTCATATATGTAAATAGTATAAAAGGTGGGATTTTTCGTACGTCATCCACAATCCTAGCATTACATATAAAAAAAACTCTCAAAATAAATAATGTCCTGCCAATCTTGAGCTATATATAGTACTAGTTTAGTAGAGCACTGCATCATTATAGAAACACACGCAAATGTCTAGGCATAGGTGGATTATATTCCACACTCTATCTGTCCTGTGCTAAATAGATAAAAATGAACTCAAAACAAAAAAACAGTTTTTTCTCACATAGTTGCACCTATTAAATGTTATATTTCCTTTTCTTTCATCCAAATTGCAATTTGTATGGTTGGTTGAGGTTTCTAAGTTTCTGTTTGTGTTGATTTCCTTGTAGTGTCTGCTGACATGGCTCATGGAGTTCACCCAAATTTTACGGACAAGCATGAAGAACACCATCGCCCAGAATTGCAAAAGGGGCTTGTTATCAAGTACAATGCAAACCAGCGCTATGCTACTAGTGGAGTTACCGCATTCCTTTTTAAAGAAATTGCAAAAATTCATAACCTACCTACACAGGTGACATGACAATATTTAGAAGTGATATAGAATTTGTATGAGAAAAAAATTCTGTCCTTTTTTGGCCATTTCATTCTCTAATATGCTTTTGTAAATGATGTGCAACTGGCAACATGTAGGTTGTGGTAATTCTATTCAATTGCATAACTCCGTGCATTAGCTTCATAGTTAATAATAACTTTTTTAATGAAATGTCTATGCATTCGTCACAACAAACTTGGGGATCCATCTCTATGCAAGTTTTGCTTTGCAAATCAAGGTCTCTAGCATGGTATGCCCTTGTGCACTTCAAAACTTCACAAGAGAAAACCAGTGGGAGTCGGGCCCAGCTGATTCATGTGTATGTTGGTCTGAAATTTGCCATTTCACAAACAGTATTTTCACTTGAATATGTTTCTTGAAGTGCACATCCTGGGATTTGTTCCATGGGTCTCATTGGTAACATGCAAATTGTTTAACAATCAAGGCATAAGATAGATTACGGGTTTTGATGTTTGGCATACTAGCAAGAAGTACGAGGCCAAGTGATCGAAGTTAGAAGAGACTCTGGCATGGTGATGGGTTGAGGAAAATCCCCAAATCTTGGAATCCATGCAACATGCTCACCTTATATCTATCTGAATGTACAGATTTAATGACCTCCATAGAAATGGAGATCAATTAGGTTCCTAGTCAATTGCTTATTGTTTTTAGCTAAATGACGATCTACATGTTTAATACCTTGTAAAGGGTATTTTTATATCCCCAGGAGAGATTAGGATTCGTTGACCTTGTGCTCTTTCCTCATTGTTCCCCAAACTTGTATACACTTTTTTCACTTATTTTTACATGGATTCAGTTGTTTGATATATACATATTGTATGTGGCTGATAAGATGTCTTGTTTCCTTGCTCACAAACACACATTAGCAATACCTTTTCCTTTTCTTGGAAGTCATATTTTCGTATCATGTTATCACACAGCAGACAGATGGACCTTCACGTGCTCCGTTTGTATAACTCGTTAAGACTAAAGTTTATCCATTTGGTTGTGTAGGAATTTGCAGTGAGAAATGATATGGGATGTGGATCCACTATAGGTCCCATACTAGCTTCGGGGGTTGGCATTCGTACTGTTGATTGTGGTATTGCTCAGCTTTCTATGCACAGGTATTACATTTTGCTTTGTTACATTTTCATATCAATTACCTTTACACTGCATTTGGATCTTAGATTTGTGAAGACAAAGGTAAAGTGAAGGGAAAAGTGAATGAAGTAGAAGTTTCATTTTTCAATCATCAACATTGCCGACAAGCACGAAGGTTTACATTTTTTTCCCCTCTTGTAACTGCAGTATACGAGAAATTTGTGGGAAAGAAGATGTTGACATTGCATACAAGCATTTCAAGGCCTTCTATCAGACATTTTCAAGCATCGACAGGAAATTAAATGTGGATTAGTATGTTGTCTTGAGCCCCAACGAATATAGTCTTTTCTTTTTCCTTTCCAGAGACTAGAAAAATTACATTAATTTATTCCTCATACATTCGTGTAGTAGCTCATATTTTAAAAATAATCTTTATTTTGCCTCCAAATACAAAGATAATGAAATGAAATACGAATGGGTTGACAACAAATACTTTGGTGGAAGAAAAGATGCAAGTGCATATTGTGTGTATACGGTTTTGCACAAAACACTGATGGGGGGTTTTTGCTGGGTTGTGGGGAGGGGTGGTGAATTCTGTTGTTGTTCATGAGATTAATATTTGCCCTAATTTTTAGGGTTTGAAGTGGAAGTAGAGCAACTACTGTGTTCAGATTTAGGGTTAGGGTTGGACTGGCCTTTGTTGAGTTTCTGTTTCAGCTCAGATAACAGAACCTGATTCTCCTGGTTGAGCCGTTGAGCCTTCTTCCTTAGCTTTTCATTCTCTTGGATGATCTGACAGTTCTGCAAATACAGTTGCGAGTTCAGCTTCTCCATACTAAAATGCTTGTGTGTAGCCCCTGAAACCGAAGCCAGAGACATAAAGATAATTAGTTTCAGCTGATCGATTGATTGCCTGCCTAAGAAACTATATATATTTTTTCATCAAAAAAAAAAAAAAAAAAAACTAGAGAAATGTCAGTTATCTGTCAATTGTAATTGGAGAATAGGAATGGTAACAGGACATGGTGGAATTAGATAGGTGGTGTCCCATCCCTACCGTGTTCCCCAATGGGCTCGATAAAAGCGGGATGGGGGTATTTTGCCAACACTTGCTGTGTTTGGTTGAGAGATTTAGGGAGTGATTTGGAAAGGGAAAAAGAAAAAGTGTGTAAAACTATGTGAAATGTAGGTATATTTTTTTCACATTTCACCTACCTTTTCCATTTTTCTTTCCAAATCCCCTCTCAAATCCCTCACCCAAACACGACATTAGGAGGGGTCGTGTTAATGAGATAATAGTATGACATCTAGAACAATGATTAATAAGTGATTAGAGTCAAAAAGATTAAAGAGATGGAAAATAACAGTGAATATATTGACATCTTAGTCTTATTAAGGCCTAGTTTGGGAAGACTAAATAAGTGCACTTTTTGACTTTTTTTGTATTATGTGTAGAAAAAGTAGAGAGGAGATGTTGATTGATGTGACCCAAAAAAGATAAAAAGATGAAATAAGTGTATATTTTTTTCACATTTCACCTACCTTTTCCATTTCCCTTTCCAAATCCCCTCTCAAATTCCTCAACTAAGACATTAGGAGGGGTCGTGCTAATGAGATAATAGTATGACATGTAGAACAATGATTAATAAGTTATTAGAGTCAAAAAGATTAGAGAGATGGAAAATAACAGTGAATATATTGACATCTTAGTCTTATTAAATTGAAAAAAAAAATGAATTATATATAGACGTATATAAATCCAAAGTTTAAGCTAATATAATTGGGTGCAAGACAAAATAGGGTCAAATACGACATGACAGTGTTGTCTCTTCTCTGTTTCCTTATACCGGGGTGGGGGCAAAGCAAAGGATGCGAGAATGATGGAGTTTTCACCTATAAACTTCTCTTCCGTGTGTGTGGCTCACTTAGAATCAAGTAAATTGAGTACTTGGAAAGGAGCAGAAACAGATTAATTTTGTAACCTTAAAAAAAAAAACACACATGGGGTGGAGTGGGAGATTGAGGGAGGGAACTTTCCATCCCTAGGTTGGAGATCATGTTGGTTCTTTGTTACCCACTAAAAGAGAAAAGAGAATAAAAAATTTAATAGATAAAACATAAATAGCTAGATAAAAATAGCATACCCTCGTGAATATGGAAAAATTGAGAGAAAAGAGAGAGAATGAAGGTTCCAAACTATGTATATCTGAAGGAGGCAAATCTTGATGATCTTCTTCGGTCGATACAATAGTGGTATATATATATATATATAGAGAGAGAGAGAGAGAGAGAGAGAGAGAGAGAGAGAGAGGAGAGGAAAATTTAATAGATAAAACATAAATAGCTAGATAAAAATAGCATACCCTTGTGAATATGGAAAAATTGAGAGAGAAAAGAGAGAGAATGAAGGTTCCAAACTATGGATATCTGAAGGAGGCAAATCTTGATAATCTTCTTTGGTCGATACAATAGTGGTATATATATATATAGAGAGAGAGAGAGAGAGAGGGGAGACGGGAATGGGGGGCGCAAGCACCCAAAACAAGAAACATCCCCCACTGTGATGTGGAAAGCCAGCTTGTCTGCCTTTCCTCGTAAAAGAAGATAACCTTATGCATTCCATGACTTTAACCGTCACTACATGCACAAAACACATTTGTCTTTTTGGGGTTAAATATGCAAACTTGATAAGCTTCGCACGTGGAAGTTGCTTTCTATGTAATTGCTAGAACCGTGTGTGTGTGTGCTTGTGTGTGTCAGAGAGAGAGAGAGAGAGAGAGAGAGAGAACTGATTGGGGAACGAAGTGGGAATAATGATATACATGGAGAGAGAGAGAGAGAGAGATGGGAGGGAACTGCCTCAGCTTCTTTGCCCACCACCACATTATTTGCATTTTGTAATGGTTGTGCAAGCACGAAAGACACCTGAAGAGGGAAGGTGAGCTTCATGACTACATCCATCTACTACAATGTAGTGAGAATTTCAAAATTTGAAAAATGATTACATTACGACATAAAAATTGTTACATTTCAGAACTGAGTAGCGAGAAATGATTGCATTAAGACAAAAACTCTTGACATTTCAAAACTGAGTATCATCTCTGTGCACGCAATGCCGGTTTCGGTTTATTTTTCTGCCAAAATAGCCATATAAGCTTATAATTTCTGGAAAAATAGCCATATAAACTCATAAATTATAAGCGCCGGTCTTTTTTTTAATGAACTCATGGTTGAATTATCCATATTCATAGTTACTTTATGATCTTCATAACAGCCATGTAAAACAAAGTTGTCCTTAACACACTGTTAACAGGAGGTACTGGATATAAAATATCACATCACTCTCTCCACTTTTTACACATCTTTTCATAAAATTCAAAAAAATCAGCATTCTCAAACGGGATAAAATATATTAGATCAATAAAAGCATTCATTGACTTGAACGAGCAGCTAGACAAAATATAGCAAAAGCCACTATATTTCCTCAAAAAGCCAAAAAAAAATTACCACTTATAACATTAATTACCTAGTAAGAATTTCAATTTATAAGACAAAGTAACAAGAGTCATTCTATATCATGGCCTCAAAGGGAAACAAATCCAAACATGACTTTCATAGAAAATCACATTTTTTTTGCATGACGGCCACGTGAGTTTGTATATTTCATCTTACCATGCCTGGCCCGTGCCCATATATCTCCTCATAGGGCTGAAATTTGAATTTCTTTTGTATATAATTACTTTGTTTTTTCTTCTAGGATGTCAACGGTCGCAGGAGGTTCTGGCAGTCAAGGGGATAGAGGTAGGTGGAAACGCCCGATGCATGAGGAGAGAGGCAACAGCACCAGCTGAGAGTTCTCGTGCCTGCAAGGGTGCTACCGGCATCCATATTCGAGAGGGCCAACATGTAGGCGGGTCCAAATAATGATGGTGATGAGGGTGGCCCTGCCATTATTTATGAGAGATTCACCCCACATGGAGTGGGAGTACCTGAGAGAGTCTGAGTGGATATTGGAGAGGGGCATGGTACCATGTGATAGACACTTGCAGACAGGCTCAACGGGAGTACACAGATTTTCTTGCCTCCGTTCAATTTGGGGACTTTATTCGGATTGAACCTTGACGTTTTGACCATTAGTATACTCTTAAACCAATGCCCGGTAAGAGCCTGAGTATACACTGATGGTCAAAACGCTAGGGCTCAATCCAAATAAAGTCCCCAAATCCAACCAAGGCAAGAAAATCTCTGTACTCTTGTCAAGCTCATCTACAAGTATCTATCGCCTCCTTGGAAGGATGTATGTATCTCAGGAGGCATCTAGCCCAACCTATGATTAACGGAGGGAAGGTAACCCAAGTCACAAAGTAAATCAATACCCCAATACTGTTGCACTTCGCAAAAGGCACACTTGGCGCCAAACAAATTTCTTGCCTTGGTTGAAGAATCGTCTATCAGAGAGCATCAACCTCATGCACTCACATTGCAGCACCTTGATTTTGAAGTTCAGGAGGAGTGCTATCAATTAGAAGATGTACCGTCATTGAGTCCAGCCTGCCAGGAAAAGAAAAGCAAAGATATATTTTTAGTTTCCCACCACAAATCATTGACATCCTACACAAACAGTACATGAAGTGATTCACAATTTTTGCTTCTTATATATGGTTGCAACAAACCAGTAACAAGTGATGACCGGAGCTTTGCTGAAGGAAGACAGCCAGGTTGCACCAATGTGTCCAGGGGCAGAAACTAGGAACCACCACTTCCTTAAAAAATCATTTTTATAAGCATTTCCTTTTGCATTTTGTGGTGCTGTAACAGGATAAATGAAGCTTAAATTAGTTAAGGATATAAATAAGTCTGTCTGACAAAAAGATGACCGATTCAGAAAAATCCAAAAGAGGCATACCTTCATCGAAACAAAAACAAGACTTCTCTGCTCCGGTAAATTCTTTTCCTAAGTTCATTCCTCATCATCATCATCAGTGGCATAGCAAAGCTCTCAGAGAGCTCATAAAGGGAAGTGCCTGCCAACCAGTGAGCTTCATCAAATATGCGAGAAGCTCTCATCGGAAACCGAGATTGGCGGAATTGGATCAAAGAGGGTGAACATAAGATTGATCTGTCCATTCCTAGGCCAACTCGGCTGCTTAATGCCTGCACACCTACCAGTTGAGATTACATGTGGCCAAACTTTAGCAAGCTGGTTCACTTTTCAAGCTCAGAACGTGCTGGCAGGGTGCAGGCATGGCCCTCGCCCCTTACCGGGGCCGGGCTAATCCAAAACTTGCATCAGGTTGCTGCTGTTGAGGCTGCATAGAGACATAAAACAAAAACAATAGTTGAAAGGGTGAGTCAAATCTAAAATGAAGTTGGTCTTGAGCAACTAATGATTGCCAAATAACAAAACAGAACCCTCAGATATCACAAATATAACGTGATATTATACTAATCAAGATTCATAACATATCTGAGCAAGTTATGTCTACTTAATTAATTACAGTACATTTAATGAATATATGAGATCCAGTTTTGATTGTTGTGGGTTGTGTATGTGAGAGGATGAGATCTATATTGTCTTATTAGTTAGATTGTTTATCAAGATGAAATGAACAGGGGATCAGTGCATCTGACATCTCCAGGTTGAAAATTTGTCAAGACCACTCGCATCACACCTCTCTCTCTCTCTCTGGTTTTGGGGGGAGGGCGGGGGGGAGTTGGTTGCAGTACTTGAGCATGAATTTTACCAACTAACAAAATCAAATCTTTGAAAACAACGAAGTCGTAAAAAAATCTAATATTTCTCATTCTACAAACTAGGAATGTGTTTTATATAAGAATTTAACCAACTTACAAGAGATGATCTCTGAAACAAGAACACTTTTTTTAAAAAATTGTACCTGTGCTCATTCTAGAGGCTAGAAACAATGTCCATCCTCTGTTGCATTTATTTTATTTTATTTTATTAAGAAAGGGAAAAGATTTCACTATTTTTAAACAGAGATTTGAAGAAAAGAAAAAGATTCACACAGAAAACATGAGTCTCAATCTTTTAGAAGACTGATCATTTAAATCACAATATGATTCACATAATTTAGTTCTCATTGAAATCCTCTTCAGAATTTTATCCCAAGTTCTCTATTGTGTTCACCAATAGTGTCAACTTGTTAGAATGACAAGGGAAATAGTAACTTTAAAAACATCAAGTGAACCAAAAGAAAAAACTGCTCAAATATAACCACGAAAAAAGAAAAAAAAGAAAAAGAAAAAAAGGAGAAGAGGCGGGGATGTGGGGAGTGGTAGAACTTCCATTGCTAGGGCAGCTTCAGGAGCAGCAATTAAATTGACAATAGGAAAGGAAAACCAATGAGATAGTACCTGTGAAAAGGGTTGGTGAACCTGTTCATGAGGATGGATGAACGGGATTCCAGGGTGCTGGCAAGGATATTGAGCTGAATGTAAATATAAGCCAGAGGTGGAGCGTGCACCAACATGACTGGGACTGAATGTGGTCATCATGACATCTGGATGACCATAACCAATTCCAGCTGCGGTGGATGGTGCAGCCCATTGACCAGGTATATGTTGAGGGAGTAGCCGAGGTTGGTGTTCAGTAGATATCGCAGGCCTGTGAGCCGTACCAAGTTGTGGGAATTCAGTGTTGTAGTTCAATGCAGGGGAGTACATAGGCTGAACGGCATATGGTCCTCCATTGAACCCAAATCCAGGGTCAAATCTTTGCATATATCTGGCAAAGGAAAAGCATTACAGTATTAAAACCATTGACCGACTAACAGATAATAGACAATGTTCATTATAAGTAAAAAAAAGGTGGTCAGCATTCTCAGTTACTAAATAATGATCCAGAATTGTCAGACAGTTGAAAGATGAAAACTAAAGCAGTCAGCTATTCATGTTTCTAAAATTAATAACCAAAACAGAGCATTGAAAAGAAGTTTGAACTTCCTTTATTTATTTATTTGTTTTTTGTCCGCAGGTAATGTGGACTAAAGAATGACGGGTATCTGCCCGCACAACTCCCATCCCATAAACCACCAACTTGGATGAAGGTGGGACTTAGCTTCTTAATCTTTTTACCATTGCTATTAATTTAATCCATTTATTTAAGGTTTAATTTTTTTAATTTCATTTTATTGTAAGGTATTGTCCATCACTACAACTATATAGATGCATGTATATCGATAAACAGGATAAAAGCATGCATGTCCAACCAGTATTTGAAGGTTGCAACTCAGCATTTCAAGATAGCAGGTGATACTACTCACAATGAGCAGTACGGATGTGCTACAATGTTTATTTTATGTTGTGCTCCACAATGTCGGGGCATGTTTGTGTGTGCCTCACTTTAGTGGGAACAAAGCTTTGTGTTGTTGGCACTGTTCCATATGTTTTTTTTTTTAAACCAGCTGGTTTTATTTGTTTTCTTTCCTTGCCTAGCCAATTAGACTGTGATTGGATTTATTTTTAAGATAGAGGGCCTTGTATCTCTCTTTCAGAGTGTGTGCCCTTAGGGCTGTGTGTACCTGTTGATACATGTTTAATAAGACTCACTCTTACCAATATATATATGTACATACATACCCATACCCATACACCTGTTTATAAGTAATTAAATCTGTACACGTGCACTTGCATATGCACAGGTATACGGACCATACAGCTGTTAATCATATCAATAAAAAGAAGAGACGTCCTTGCCACCCTTAGTAAAAATAATGATAGAGGCCCCAAAATTGAATGGAAAACATCAGCGAATCAAGATTTAAGCTTCAAAAGTTGTTCAACAAAAGATGGGTAATATTTGCCCCATTTTGCTTGAGAAGGGAAAAATATAATCCTGAATATATCGATGGCAGGATGACATTCAATTCTAGGGATGGAATTGGGGGGACTGACAGGGGGAGAAGAATGGAAGCATACCTATCATAGTTTCGATCATAATCAGGATCCTTGCGGTCAAAATCACGGTCCCGGAAAATAGCCACCTTATTATTTGCTCTAGACCTACCAACTGGCTCCTCTGTCCTACTTCGAGCTAATCTACTGCTACTTGTGGAAGAATCAATCAAACCTCTGCCACTGTTAACATCAGACCCTCCTGGAATAAATTTCTCTTCCACCTTTGATATCACCAATGAATTATGCTGGAAATTATCCTGCATCCTTGGTTCATTTTCTGGTCTCCCACCAATACCCCCACTAAAACTACCAGAGCTAAATATCCGTGCGCGAGCCCTATTGTATTCCTCTTTTCTCTCCTCCACACTTTTTGAATTATTGGCCTTGATAGAATTCGAATTTGTACTGCCAACAGCCGGTGACCGTTTCTGTGGCCTCTGCTTAATAGCAACCTTAACAACACCACTGTCTTCTGTTGGCAACTTTACAGGGATGTCTGCCAAGCGAATCAAAGGAAGACGACAATCAGCAGTCTTGCGGACAATAATTCTGGAACCAGAACCATCAGGTAAAGTATTGTCCAATAAAACCATCGACTGCAATGAGTAGTGTTGGGCCACACGGTGTGCGGCCAACCGTAGATAGGAAGTCGGCAGTTGCTGGAACTCCATTTGCTGTTGAGTGCGATCCCGAATGAACTTTTCGACATCTTGTTCCATCCTTAGAACTGAACAACATTAAAAAATAAAAAAATAGAAATAAGAAAGCTCAATTGGACACTCAAATATTGACGGTTCCCATTTGCATCATGATAAATAATAAAAAAAAAGGGATAAACTACCAATAGATCCTAATAGTTTGACTTAATTCCCATCAAGTCCTAGTAAGATCGTCATTAAAAATAATTTTTTGCATATGTCGCTAAAAATTGATTTATCACGGTTTTTATAAATTGTCATTTAAACTTACAATTAGTGACATTTTTCTGTGACGAATTTTTCAAACTGTTGTTGAATGTTGAAAATTAGTAATGTTCTTTTGTGACAATTTTTTTAAACTGTCGCAAACTTATAATTCGTGACAATTTTTGTGAAATTTTTTAAATTGTCACTGAAAATAAACCATCAGTGACTTTTTTAATGGTGTTTGATTAAAAACGCCATTAATTGTCACGACCTATTAGACAATAAATCCACATATACCTATTAGGACCTATGCGTAGGTCCCTAAATTTTTTTTTAAAAAAAAACCTTCTACCCACAGTAGCAATCATGATAGTTAATGATGACAAAAAACTTCTGCTCTATTTTGTTCAATGGAATGAGATGGAATATTCCTTACTTACAATTGTGAATAATGATTCCATTTGCAATATATTTATTATTATTATTTTAGTCTAACGAAACATGAGAATGACTATTTTGATAGCATGATCATTCTATTCCATTGAAGCAAACACTACCTTCAAGTTGGTGATTCTACCCCATGTCTAACATTCATCTTTGCCCTCTTTTCCGCATGTGACAGTACTATTTTTCTTGAAAAGAAATAAATTGAAAGAAAGAAAGAAGGTTGCTCAAGGAACTTCTTTTAAAATGTACATATCTTTAAAATACATCAAGACCAGACAGATGAACCATACACAGTGGAGAACCAAGGCAAATAGATCATTCACAACCAGTACAAGATACAAACAACCAAAACTCCATAATCACAAGAATCACAGTAATAACCTTACCAGAAAGCCTCTCCCGAGGGTTCTGCAGAGCTTCGCGAAGAAACTGATCTACCGAACTGATAACATCTTCAGAAACACCCCCAATTAGCTGAGAAGCAACAGCCGAAGACGAGGAAACTGAAGCTGAAGCATCGGCGAGCTCATGAGAAGCAAAGTTGGAGGAAGAAGAAGAAGATGACGATGATGGCGGATTCGAAGAAGAAGAGAGCATCAATCTGCTGACGCTAGCCTCCAAGTCCGCCACTTCCCATGAATCAGGAGGGGCTCCGAGATCCTCCACAGACCCCTCCATGGCTTCTCTCGAGCGAGGAATTCTAGGGTTCTTCTATCGAAGAAACCATCAAATTGAGCTGGAATTCGAGATCGAATCAACCCTAGAACAGTACAATTTAGTCAATTTCATGAATGAATTCGATGGATTACGAGGAGAGAGAGAGAGAGAGAGGGAGCAGTGATCGACAATAGATTTTGACGACGAAGTGCGTTTGGGCTGGCTTTTTGTGGTGGTCACGTGAAGGTGCACTTCCAATTGGACATCTGGGAATCTAATGGAGGCATCGTCAGGGAAGATGATTTTTTTGGGTTGGGTTAGGAAGTGGGTTGGGTTTTTGATTTTTTAATTATTTTAATTTGGAATTAAAAAGTTTCATTTAAGGAATTTTTTTTAATTTTAAGTAAAAAAAAAATATAATGATTATGAGTTGAATGTAATATTATGAGCTCTTTTGGAAAAGGGTGAAAATGCTAGGTTGGCGTTTTGGAGTAAAACGCACAGTTGCGTTTTTCGGCTCATTTGGCAAGTAGAAAATGTAGGTTAGGAAATTACATAATTCCTCAATATTAACATCTTATGGATTTGGGTCAAATGTAATTTTTTTAAGTTTGGTGAGGTTATTTTAGTCATTTTGGTATGATGTGACACCATAAATAAATATTAATTTAAAAAAAAAGTAATTTTTTATCAACTTTCTAAATCACTCCAAAAAAGCTTGGTTAAAAGCAAAAAAGTCACTTTTTACTATCTTTCCAAAACAATCCTATATTTTATTGGACTAAAAAAATTATTTTGTCTTTTTTTTGACTAAAATAGTTAGGATTAAAAATTTTGTTGATTTTTTTTTGGGCAAATTACATATTCCTCTCTCGAGGTTTAGCTAAATTACAGATATCCCTGAGGTTTCGAAAATTACATCCCATCCCCTGAAGGTTATATTTTCATAACAAATTATCCCCTAAAGTTTATATTTTCATAACAAATTGCCCCCTTAATTTGTTATGCAAATATACATTTACGGAGAATTTATAATATCTCAAACCTCAGGGATATCTGTGATTTAGCTAAATCTCGAGGGGTATATGTAATTTGCCCTTTTTTTATGAAAAAAAAAATTTATAATTTAAATATAACAATTTATTTAATTAATTTTTTAAACTATTTTATCTTTATTTTATTTTATTTTTTACTATTTTAATCTCCAATTTCATTTTAGCCTCATGTCATACAAAGGCTGAAAATGTCTAAGATCATCCCTATCAAAATGGTCAAATTTTTAATTAAAATTCTATTTTTATATTTTAGTTGACCATCTACATTTTTTAATAAATTCTATATTTATTATTTGATTTGTTGAGTCTTTTTTTCTTTAACTACATATAACTAGTGATTGATTTGATATTCAACTAAAATAGTTAGTTAATAAATGAATTTGATAGATTTTATTTGATTTGTTGAGTCTTTTTTTCTTTAACTACATATAACTAGTGATTTGTTGAGTCTTTTTTTCTTTAACTACATATAACTAGTGATTGATTTGATATTCAACTAAAATAGTTAGTTAATAACTAAATTTGATGGATTGTATTTTTATAGTTTTATGTTATAAAATAATTAAGACAATATTATAATAACTTTGATAATGATACTCTACGACTTACATAAAACTTCTCACAATGTCCCACACTAATGTGGCTCGCTAAATGTTAATATTTAATTTGTTACACACTTAATTGTCAGATAATTATTCATTAATCTCAAAATATAAACACGTGATACTTCATAATATTTATAACGGTAGTGTTAAGGCTTCGAATTTGGCTCGAAATCTCTTTTTTTAGGGGAGGGGGGCTTTGTAAGTTAGTTTTTTATTTTTTGTTTTTTTTAAAGGGTGGTTATGTGTAGAGATGTGTCAAAAAATTAGATATCTTATATGAAATTAACAAAATTAAACCAACAGCCTAACTGATCAGTCAATTTTATCCCTCAATCAGTCCAACCTAATTGACTAATCAATTAGGCTATTGGTTAAAATTTGTTAATTCCATATAATTTTGTACGATGAGTTGGTATGAGATGTCTAGTTTTTTAGCACACCCCTACACATAACCATCTTTAAAAAAAAAAATTTAAAAAAAAAAACCAAACCAACACAGCCCAAAAAATAAAATAAAATAAAATTAAAAAAAAAAACTAATCAGCTTGTTTGTTTTCATTTTTCAGAAAATACTTTTCAAAAAAAAATTTACTTTCTTATTTTTCATTTTTTTTGTTTTTACTGAATTTTTTTTAATATTTTAAGCAATTTTTTTTTTTACTTTTTAGACACACTTAACATAAATATACCTAAAAAGTAAAAAAATTGTAAAAAAAATCTTTTAAAAATTTACTAAATACCAAAAATACAAAAAAAAAGAATTAAGTACATTTTTAGTATTTTTATGTATTTATTAATTTTTTAAAATATTTTTTCACAAATTTTTTACTTTTTAGATACATCTAACTAAGGTGCATCTAAAAAAGTAAAAAAAATGTTTAAAATTTAAAAAATATTCACTAAAAACAAAAGAATACGAAAACAAAAAAATTCAGTTTTCAAAAAATTTAATCCAGAAAACTCAAACCAAACACACTGAATATAGCCCAACAAATAGAAGGGGGAAAAAAAAAAAACCAACTCAACCTATGTGGTTTGATAAGGTGAGTGAGTTAGGTTGAACTGATCGAGTGATAAAATTGATTGATCAGTTAGGCTGCTAGTTAAAATTTGTTAATTCCATACAATTTTGTATGAGTCCCTACTATATTTTTATTTTAAATTAGGAAGATTTCGAAGAAATTGAAATGGTTTTGATTTCAATTTCCTCTGAGTTTTCCTGATTTGAAACAAAAATATAGTATGAATTCGTACAAAATTATATAAAATTAACAAATTTTAACCAGCAGCCTAACTGATCAGCCAATTTTATCATCTAACCAGTCCAATTCAATTCACTCACCTTATCAAACTATACAGACTGAGTTGATGTGGGATGTCTAACTTTTTAACACACCTCGACATATAACCACCCTTGCAAAAAGAAAAGAAAAGAGAGGAGAAGGAAAAATAAAAATAAAAATAAATAAATAAAACTAACTGATACAGCCTTGAAAAAAAATAATGGAATTTGAGGCAAAATAAATAAATAAATAAATAAATAAATAAAACTAACTAATACAGCCTTGAAAAAAAATAATGGAATTTAAGGCAAATTCGAGGCCTTCAATTCGAGGCCTCAGGCTTTATTCTATTTATAATTTACCTTAAGCATTTATAATTTATCTTGCTTAGACCATTTCCAACGTTGTATTAGATTGAGCATCAGATTTGAATTTGATGAAAAAAGTTACTTTTTTCTCTCTCCAATGGTTTCACCAGACTGATATCAAATTGAGAACGAAGCAAAAGTTTCACCAAACTAAAGATGTGTTGCACCTTTCACTAAATTACTGTGCGTAGCCGTTGAGTGTAAACCCATTGAATAACCGGCCGGACATCCACCCAGATGGCTAGTTCAAGCAAAATTTTGTAAAAATTTTACATTAGAAGGTCAACCCCCCGGTCGACCACCTCTTTGTTTTCTCAGTAAAAAAAAAAAAGGTAAAGAGAGAAAGATCAGAACTAAGTTTTTCATTTTTTTACATTGACTGGTTGATCGGTAATTTGATAAAAAAAAAAAAAATCTTTGTTGGAGCAAGCGATATCAAATAGAAGAAATTATCTTTTTTTTCTCAAATTTGATGAAAAATATGATGAATTATTAGAAATGCTCTTATCATGTCATTATTAATAAATTTAGAGGTCAAAATTGCGGTTTATAATACTTGTCAAATCTAATTGACACATGGGTTAGGACAAGTAGCAATTGTGGGACCATTGATTACATCATTATTTATTAATAAAACTTAAATGTAAATTATAAATATAACTATTAAAATTAGATTAAAATACGAATCATCTTTTATAATTTTGAAAATTATATTTCATCATTTGGGATTTATAATTTCATAATAAATCATTTGTTTTATTAATAAATTATCAACTTAATTAACAGTTTTTAATAGTGTTATAAATATGTTTCAATAAATAATTTGTGTAATTTTATTATTATAGAAGAGAGCAATTATGAATTTTATTTTTTTAGTTAATTCTGTTAAATAATTTTTTTTGACAATGAGGTATTTATAATTTTTCAAATTACACGAGACAATCTATACATTAAGCAAACCTCAAGGGGTACATTGGTAATAATAAGAATAAATTACAAATACAAGGCTAAAGTTTCATTTGAGAATAAGCTATTTTAGTAACTTTTTGATTTTTTACAAAAATATATGTAGAAAAGTAGAGAGAGTGATATGATAACTCATAGTGACTTTTTGATTTTTTGGCTAAAATATAAAGTTGTCAAACGAGGCCTAAAGTTTGTTTAATTTACTTATGTAATTCTGAAAATTATAACCCACCTTTTGAAGTTTCAAATTTCATAATTGTTGGCTATATATTTTGTACAAACCAATTACAATTCGACACATGGCAGAATAAGGATAATACAGGAAGACTATTCAAGTCTTTGATCCTGATCGTACACGTGGCAGTTAGTATTGGTTATTACGAGATCTGAGCAGCAGTAAATCAACAAAGAGGTGCAAGGTGATGTGGCTTCAACGGTTACTCACATCTAAATTCAAATTTAGGAGGGAAGTCTAACTGCAAGTGATAGCATAGTGGGCTAATTACAAGGCACATGATCAGCGGTCATGAAGGAGCAGTTCGACGGTTGGAAACGCAGTTCGATGGTCATCCTCGAGAAGTATAAATAGCAGAGAAGGCCCCAGAAAAAACCCCCAGACTCAGATCCAAAAAACCAGTCTTATTATACTTATTTTTCTTTCCAGTTTTACATTTCCAGTCTTACATTTTCTGTACTTTAAATTCCTGCACTGCACTTCGTTCATAGGAGTAGTTTCAAGTAGATTGTTGCTGTAAACCTCTACGAGGCTGAGTTTGGATCAGTGTAAGTTTTTTCATGTTAATAAAATACTTCAACTGTTCTTCATTTAATTATTATTTTGCTTAATTCTCCTAAATCAAGCCACCAGTAAAAGTCCTCTTCATTGAGGCTGAAAGAACTAAAACGTAATCGTCTGATAATTGGTTGGCAATTAATTTTCTACAAGGACTGATTGATCCTTGCTGGCACGCTCACAATTACA